GCTTCCGGGCACGACCAAATCGGGTCACAACCAGAAGTCCAGGAACGGATTACGGTTGCAACCCGAGGCTCCACTGTACGGTTCTGGAATTGAGGGAGTTAGAATTCATCCAACATCACCCTTATTAGCCTCGTCCCCAGCCCACAAGGGAGGGGAATGTGTAAATAGAGCATCTATTTTTGTGAACTCTCTTTAATCTTTTTAGAATTTTGCAAATTGATTATGTTGCATATCAACACAGAGTGCAAAAGAAGAATGCAAATGAAGGTTGCACAAAACATTTCACGCAAATCGAGAAAGACTCTATGCCAAGGGCTAGCTTTTTGCAGCAGGGAGGAAAAGAAATTGTATTTTCCCGTATTTTCAGCAGGCAAAGAAAGAATGCAGGGGCCTTGATGATGACAGAGGGACATGGTTGCAACCACAGAGGGTCAGAGTGTTAGGTGTTCGGTCCCTTGTTCCATGTCACTACAAAAAATAAAATAAAATCGGTACATTGGCTCTTTTTGATGCTTAACATCTTTTTTTTTTTACTGCTTGTTTTTAAGAAAGGACCTGCTGAAGCATTTGACGCTATGATGTGAGGGCTACTTAAAGTTGGCCCAGTAAGATTTCTGGCCGTTGCAAAGGAAGGTGTGGGAGTCACTGGTGTCCTGTCAGTCACCATTTGGCGACACACCTGTCACATGCAGACACTCTAAAAGTGCAGCCTCTCCATGGAAGTCAGGTGGTTTGGTCAGCTTTGAGCTACATCAGTTTAGTTGAGCCAAGAATTGAACAGGCAGGATCGTTCTGGATTTGTGTGCAGGTGTCAACTCATAAAATATTTCTATGGTCTTTTTAGAGTTGCCAACAGAAAGGAAGGGGGAGCAGTGCAGCAGTTTGGAGACCAAAAGTGCATTCCATAAATAGTTTTCAAAGATAGTAACTAGGTGACTGAAGATGCTGCCGCGCAAAATTCTAACTGGAGAGCATGACTGGTGATTCTTGGCTATGGATGTGTCCAATTGGAGAATATGAATTAAAATACACCCAGGGGGTGAGGGAAAACCAGGGTCAAGGGTGACAATGAATTCTGTGTCTCAGAGTTGGCTACACCCAGGCAGTGCCGGACATGTTAACTCCCAATAAATCCTTTTGAAGTTTTGGAAGTCTGGCTTGAGACTCATGATTTAATTGGGGTAACTCTGGAATCCTGACAGCAGGTATGTGTGTGTGTAGAGGGGATTATGTCTTTGAGTCAGTGTTGGCTCCTGGCAACTATTTGGGCAAATCTTTACATTTTTCTTTGGCAAGGCTTTTCAAAAGTGGTTTGCCATTGCCTCCTTCCCAGGTCTGGGGGCAGAGAGAAAGGGAATGTCCCCAAATCAACCAGCTGGCTTTGTGCCTAAAGAGGGATAAGAACTCACAGTCTCCTGGTGACTGGCCCAAAGTCACCCAGTTGGTTTTCATATCTAAGGTTGGACTAGAACTCACAGTTTCCTGGAGATTGACCCAAAGTCATCCAATCAGCTTCCATGCTTAAGGCGGGACTGTAGAACTGTTCTATTCCATTTTATTCTATTCCAGCCTCTGAAATAGCTTAGTCTTCAAAAGTTTCTAAAAGAACTGCAAAGAGGGAGCCAGCCTGATCTCTATAAAGATATATCAATTTGCTCAATAAATATAAATTTAAAATATTAATACATCTCAATAGAAATATGCAAATTTGCTGAAGAGGTATCCATTTAAGGAATTAATACATATTAATAGAAACATGTAAATTTGCTTAATAAATATACATTTAAGGTATTAATACGTATTAATAGTAACATGCAGATTTGCTCAATAAATATAAACTTAAGATATTCATACATGTTAATAGACATGTTTACATTTGCTCGATAAAGAAAGATAAATAAATCTCTGCAGGAAAACTGTTCACATCACAAAAAGCAGGAAGCTCCCCAAAATGTGGGGTTTGTACTCCCTCCCCTCTAAGTCAATGTAGGATTTAGGAAAGTCACAAAGCTAATTTCCTGAGCTAGAGATGAGCCATGCCTAAGTAGAGATACAAGGGGACTATTTGGTCCGGAAGGGCATATTTTTAAAAAAATAATTAGACAAGATATGTCCTGCGTTCATGTTGTGAATTCTCTAATGAGAAATACTTGAGCACGAAATGGAATAATGTGGCTCTTTTCAGATATGACGGAGTTCAATTTGCAAGTGGGGTTGGATGGCATGACAATTAAGGAGACCCAGGGCTAGCTTGAAAATGGTATCCGAGGGCTCTTCAGCAATTCCTCATCAAACCAGGGAGGAGAGTGATATGGGGGTGCCCCGAGGTTCAATTCTGTAGCCTCTTTTTTCTTGCCCTATCTGGTTTTTTTTTAATTGCTCGAATTGAAGAGGCAGAGGAAACGCTTCTCAAAGCTGCAGGCTTGAAATACACATTCCAAACAGCCCCTCCTGCCTTTCGGTAAAAATGGGCTGCAGAACTCACAGCGTGCAATTTGCAAATGCGATTTCTCCATGAAGGAAGCCGAAATTAAATATGCAGGTGTATGATGGGAGGATCTCTGACCTGACAATCGTTCTAGTAAAAAGCAATTTTGGAACAGGAGTTTGTACACAAACCAGATATGAGTCAGAAATTTAGTTTAGTCTACTTTATTGTTATTGGAAGAAATATCCTTCTGGGTTCAGTTCCAAGTGGGGAGGAAGAGACTGGAAACAGGGAGGCTTTTTGGAAAGATGGTTTAATGGTGGGCAGGATCATGTGGCTTGGAGCTCCAAAGTGAAAAGGATGATCACATGCTTCAAGATGAAGGAAAAGAAGGAAGGGCTGAGATGCTGAGTGTGCCTGGGTTTTATACCCTCTGTTGGGATTTGAATTTGAGCTTGTATTCTGATTGGTTGTCAGACTCCCATGGGGCCATGCAGGGGCTGTCCTGAGTCCCAGGCTTGGTTGAGCCTTGCTGGGTGATGATGTAATGAAAGGGCTTTGGAGATCTTTGTTATGTAAAATAGGCTAGGCTAGGCCAGAGTAATGGCCCGTTAGCAAAGGTGGGCAGGCTGAGTTTCTGCTTCTGAAGTGAGTTTTTGCTTCTGAGTTTCTACTCTTTTTAGGGGAAATATTCTGCCTTTTTAATATTTCCTAGGATATTTCATTTTTCTAGGAGAGCGGTGGGTGATAACTTCCTACATTGCCATTGCACCTCATACAACGAAATTAAATACCATCTTCAGTGTACATTATGACTGAAAATAAACAGAAACACACATCCTTCACATTCTATACATTGAATTGAAAACCCCTGATGTTGCATTAATATTGCACTATACAGTAGAATTCAATAGAGTTACTGCCCTGGGATAGAAACTGTTTTCAGCCTATTTGTCCTTGTTTTTATTATCCTGTACTGTCTGCCAGATGGTAATAGTTCAAAAAAAAAAGAGGGTGACTAGGATGAGATGGATCTTTGAGAATGTTTTGAACTTTCTTAAGGTAGCAGGAGGCAACCAATGATCTTCTGGGCAATGACATTAACCCTCTGGACTGCTTTCCTATCAGCCACTGTGCAATTGGCAAACCATACAGAGGTACAGTAAGTTAAGATACTCTCTATGGTGCAGCGGTAGAAGGTCACCAGCAGTTTTTCATTCCTGTTGGATGGGGCTGCTAAAAGAGACCAAAGATAGCTTGAGGGATGGATAAAAGTTATTCAGGTAAGATATAATTATATTTATCATTTATTATATAGACGGGTCCCCGGCTTACAACAGTTCACTTAGTGTCCATTCAAAATTAAAATGACCCTGAAAAAGTGACTTATGACCATTTTTGACACTTGCAATTGTTGCATTATCCCTGTTGAGGTAATTCCCCATTAGGAGAATGAGCACATACAGGGAGACGTATTGAGAGCAGTGTTTGAATAATACACACACAGCACACAGATACACGTACAGTAAATGTAGGTTTTTACTTCCAGAAAGGTTTAAGCAAAGTTCAAAAACAAGCAGTCCAAAGTCGTTCACAGGTAAAATCAGTCAATTTTCATCCAGTATCAAAAACATTCAGTATCGGACTTACATCGAATCCAGAAATATCAGTCAATTAGAAGGAACGGCAATATTCTCCAACAGAAGGAAACAGAGACTCACTGAGACTTCTTCTGAGACTAAGACTAAAACGACCCAGGTTTCTGGCTCCATCTTATGGCTGTTTGAGAAACCACACCCAATTACAATTTTAGGATTCTCTTAAAGATACAGTTTTAAAATGTTTATCCTGGTTTATATATTTTCAACCCAAATACCTGTTAGGTGACTTACATTCCTAACAATCCCCATGCTCACGTGATCAAAAATCAGATGCTTTTGGGAACTGACTCATATTTATGACATGTCTTGGGGTCATGCAATCCCCTTTTGCGACCTTCTGACAAGCAAAGTCAACAAGGAAGCCAGATTCACTGCACAGGTGTGTTACTAACTTAACAGCACCAGTGATTCACTTAAAAACTGTGGCAAGAAAGGTTGTAATGTGAGGTAAAAGTCATTTAACAAATGTCTCCCTTAGCAACAAAAACTTGGGGTTTAATCATGGTCATAAGTTGAGGACTACCTGTACTATTACTGTTACTTTGTGTAATTTTTCTCCTTTTGCAAAAAAAAAAAAAGAATCTCACTGCCTAACAAGGTTGAGCTTTTCCTTTAAACCTCCTGGAAATTTATTCTGCAATTTTGCATGGTTGTTAACTGCTACCTAAGAAGAGGCTTGACTGCCCTCTGTCAGGATCTCTTTGCTTGGGAAGCGGGTTGGACTAGATGGCCTACAAGATCCCTTCCAACTCTGTTAAGTCCGTTTTAAATATCCTGTCCTGATTTTCTCTCCGCTGCGCTGCTACCTCCACCTAGTGGATTACAATTTTTTTATTTATTGGCAGGTCTTTTTCGGTCGTGTCTCTTTAAGATTTTCCAGGGCTGCAGGAAACCGGAAGTGTGAGTGGCACGAAGCGAATTTCTGCTGCTCTTTGCTTCTGTTCCTGCTTCTGTGGCTTTTTTCTTCTGCCTGGATGGGAGAGAATAAGAAATATACATAGAAAAAGGGGTGTATCGTTGTCTGCTCCGCTCTGCCAAATTTGCAGGTCAGTAGGAAAAGCCGGTTGCCAACGTTTTCCCTGGCCCCTGCTCTTTTGCCTTTTGTGCATGCAATTGCTTAGCCAGAGGTCTCCAAACTTGGCAAGTTTAAGACTTGCGGACTTCAACTCCCAGAATTCCTGCGCTAACATGACTGGAGGAGGAATTCTGGGAGTTGAAGTCCGCAAGTCTTAAAGCTGTCAAGTTTGAAGACCCCCTGCACTTAACAAATGTGAGAAAAGTCGTAAAATGGGGTAAAACTCATTTAACAAATTTCTCACTGAACAACATAAATTTTGAGTTCAGTTGTGGTTGTAAGTTCAGGACTAACTGTACTAGGACGATTTTTTTATCTTCAAAGATAGCTTAGAAACCAATTAAGTAAGTTAAAGCAGGTCTCCTGGAAAACAGAGCTTGGCAGAGGGGAAAAAGATTTCCTGGGAGTAAAATTTGGTAAAGATTGTGACTCTTCATACTTAATAACACTAATACTAATAATCCTTTATTGTCAATGCACAACGTGTACAATGAGATTGTACTAATGTTAAAACCTAATGTTTATAGATGTTTAGCCATTAAAGTGTTAATCTTTTAATTAAAATGTTAATTCAGTTTAAAGCCTAATTAAAAATCAATGTTTTTAACCATAGCTTAATTGTAAGGCTAAATATAATAGGTGGATGGCTTCAGAAATCAAGAGATTTAAAATAAGTCTTTCTCTACCTAGACCAATGCTCTTTAAACTTGGCAAGTTTAAGATTTGTGGACTTCAACTCCCAGAATTCCTGAGCTAACATGACTGGAGGAGGAATTCTGGGAGTTGAAATCCATAAGTCTTAAAGCTGTCAAGTTTGAAGACCCCTGACCTGGGCATTCTAGGCATTTGTGTGGACTTCAATTCCCAGAATCCTTAGCAGAGAGTTAGATGGGGAATTCTGGGAACTGAAGTTCAGACATATAGAGAACAGAAACTATAGAAAATGAAGAGCCTGCATTATTGGTGAGGCCCAGAGATTCTTCTAATCCACAGTATGATTAGTTTGATGCTGGCGTTAGTGTGTTGTATAAGAGCAGCTGCTGCAGCTTTGTACACCATGGTTTAGAGCTTACCAGGATGTATAAACCCAGTTACTTTTGATTTAATTCAGTAAACTATCTATAACCACATGTGAGTTCACATGTCATCACTTGAGACTTTCCAGAAGAGATTGGACTGCCATTTGTCAGAAATGGTGTAGGGTCTCCTGCTTGGGCAGGGGGTTGGACTAGATGACCCTTCCAACTCTGATTATCTGTTATCTGAGACCCTGTGGAATTTGACTCTTTTTAACTACTTTAATTAAAATACTCTTTGAATTACTGTAACAATATTCTAGGACACATTGTGTTGCAAATAATCTTTAAGTAGGGTGACTTTAAAAAAAATAGAACTGAGAGAAAATGGGGAAACCAGCAGTTAAAATAAAAACCTGATATAATTCTACAGATAAAATCAAGTCGTTTTTATTGTTACTGTTGATAGTTCTGTTTGCGCTATATTTTGAATAGTTCATCCTTCAGTGAGCCCAGCATGGATCCTTCTTTCTATTGCTTTCTAATGGCTTCAATTAATTTTATTCATGTATTTATTTACTTATTGTGTCTTGCCTTTATTATTTTTATAAAAACTCAAGGCAGCCTATTAAGCTAATATTCCTTCATCTTTCTGTTTTCCCCACAACAACAACCCTGTGAGGTGGATTGGGCTGAGAGTGCCTAGTCCAAAGTCACCCAGTCAGCTTTTATGCCAAAGGCAGAACTAGAACTCACAATCTCCCAGTTTCTGTCTTGGTGCCTTAATTACTAGATCACATAGTAGGTCTAGAATTACAGTTAATACATCTATAAAATGGCAATTATCCCATTAAAATCTGCTTAATGGTAAGGCCATACTTGGAATACTACATCCAGTTTCGGTTGCCACAATGTAAAAAAATATGTTGAAACTTTAGAAAAAGTGCAGAGAAGAGCAACAGAGATGATTAGGGGACTGAAGGCTAAAATATATAAGGAACGGTTGCTGGAACTGGGTATATCTAGTCTGATGAAAAGAAGGACTGGGATGACATGATAGCAGTCTTCCAATATCTCAGGGATTGTCACAAGAAGAGGGAGTCAAGCTATTTTCCAGAGCACCTGAAGGCAGGACAAGAAGCAACGGATGGAAACTAGTCAAGGAGAGGAGCAACCTAGAACTAAGGAGAAATTTCTGACAGAACAGTCAATCAGTAGAACAACTTGCCTCCAAAAGTTGTGGATGCTCCAACACTGAAAGTTTTTAAGAAAAGATTGGACAGCCATTTTTCTGAAATTGTATAGGGTTTTCCAGCCTGAGCAGAGGGTTGGACTAGAAGACCTCCAAGGTCTCTTCCAACTCGATTCTAATCCTTTATTGCTTGAATAAACAACCAGTTATAGGTTTGAACTCATTGAGGGTTTGTTGTTAAATCTTGAAAGAAGTCACCATGTTTAAACTATGGTTCTAATAATTACACGATAACTCATCCTTAGTCCAGTTTCTACCTTAAAACCATTGTTCACTTAATTGTGGTTCCCTGTTTGAGTGTAACTTTATTTTTATCTTTATTTTGATCCATTTCGGTTCATTTCACTACAGCAACCCTGGGCAGCTAACAAAGTTAAAAGTCAATAAAAGATAAACCATAGTCAGTTCAAATGTGGAGTCAATGGATTATAAATTCATAGTATGACCAATCAAAACCAACAGGCAGGATTTGGACTTAATTTGGAAGGCCAGAAAAGAGAGGAGCTATATAAGTAGTCTAGAGTAGGGGTGTCAAACTCACGGCCCGCTGGGCAGATGTGTCATGCTGGCCACGCCCACCTCTGGTTTAGCGAAAGGGAAAAAAGACGCAATATGTCACGTGGTGCCGGCTTGATGCTGCGAGTTTTACACCCCTGGTCTAGAGCAATGTTACTCAACCATGGCAACTTGAAGATGGGTTGACTTCAGCTCCCAGAATTCCACAGCCAGCTGGGGAATTCTGGGAATTGAAGTCCACTCATCTTCAAAGCTGCCAAAGGTGAGGAGCATAGATCTACAGTGCTGAAGATCTGAATGTGTGTTAGTTCTAAGAATCCTCTGAAAAGACTGATCCCTAATTCATTCTGTTCTGATTCTTCTTTAATCAAAGTAATCGACTATAGTCATTGGAAGAACACACGAATGTGCACGCATACTGTTCTATTTGGCATCGTCTGACCTCTGTTTTATCTGACCGGAAACAAAAGACATGGCCGTGGCTTCCCTAATTTGCCCTGAAACCATAAGCAGGTGAGTGTATCTTTGGATTTTCATTTTTGAAAGGACCAAGAACAACAGATGAAATCTTATCAGAGAGAGATCGAACCTAGTAGTCCTTGACTTACAACCACAATTGGACCCCAAAATCCTGTTGCTAAGCAAAACAGTTGTTAAGTGAGTTTTGCCCCATTTTACAACCTTTCCTGCCGCAGTTATTAAGTTGAGTAACACAGTTGTTCAGTCAACCTGGCTTTCCCATTGACTTTGCCAATCAGAAGGTCGCAAAAGCTGATCACATGACCCTGGGACACTGCAGCCGCCATAAATGAGAACCAGTTGCCAAGCATCTGATCATGTGACTATGCTGTAGCAGTCATCCAAGTGTGTAAAAATGGTCATAATGGTCATTTTTTCGGTGCTGTTGGAACTGCAAATGGTCACTAAACAAACTGTTGTAAGTCGAGGACTATCTGTATGGAGAAATTCCCTCTCAGTACTATTAATCAGCAGAATGGCTTGCCTCTAGAAGTTTTGGGTGCTGCATTGCTGGAGGTTTTCAAGAAGAGATTGGACAACCATTTGTCTGAAATGATATAGGGTAGTGGCGGCTAACCTTTTTGGGCTCCTGTGCCAAAAATTGTGCACACGCTTGCACGCTTGCGCTCACATGCCAGCACCCAGAAGGCAATGCACGCCCCCCTACATCCCCTATGCATGCGCGCGCAATCCCCACTGTCCCCTTATCTGCACTGTGCCTCACAGCTGATTTTCGGCCAGTTTGAGGCCTTTTTCGGCCTCCCAAAGGCTTGGGGAAGGCTTCTGCAGGCTTCTACAAGCTTTGTAGGCCAAAATCTAGCCCTGTTTTGTCACTTCCTGTTTCTCTGAAAATACCGCAAATGACGAAACGGAGCTAGTTTTCGGCCTACAAAACTCGCAGAAGCCTGCAGAAGCCTTTCTCAAGCCTCTGGGAGGCTGAAAAAGGCCTCAAACCAGCAGAAAATCGGCTGTGAGGCACGCACGTGTGCAGCGAGTTAAGTTTTCCTGCAGCTTGCATGGCAGCACAAATGGCTGTGCGTGCCACCTGTGGCATGCCATCACGAGAATAGGGTTTCCTGCTTGAGCAGGGTGTTGGACTAGAAGACCTTCAGGGTCCCTTCCAGTTCTCTTATTCTGTAATTAAAAGTGCAAAATTTCTCTGCTACTGGTTAGCTTTTACGCTGAAATTTGGAAAAGAAACTTCACTCCTTCACTCTTCCTTGTTATTTTCTGCATTCTTATTAGGGTGAGCTCTGTTCTCAACCGAGAGGTGAAGCAATTTGGAAAGAAGTACATGTTTGACAGAAATGAGGAAACTAGTTGGAACTCAGACCAGGTGACGTCCGATAAGTAACATCCTACTTTTGCCTGGAGCATTCACCAACACTTCTTGTGAACCTTACAACTCATTTGCGAGCTGGGCCAATGTTTGTTTATTAGATTTTTTTTTATCCCACCTTTATTATTTTGTATAAGTTACTCAAGGTGGTAAACATACCTAATATTCCTCGCCTCTCATTTTCCCTACAACAACCCTCCTGTGAGATGGGCTAATGTGTGAGTGAATGGCTGGCCCCAATTGGGGAATTGCTGGAGGGGGGAAAAACTGGGGAATTCTGGGAGTTGGAGTCCACACACCTTAAAGGTTGCCAAGGGTGAAAAACAGTACATTAGACTGGTGCAGCTGCCATTGTGTGGGAGGGAGGGGGTAAGAGAGAGGGAGGAGGGAGGGAGGGAGAGAGAGAGAGAGAGAAATCTTGGACAGAAATCTTTTTATTTTCATAATATTTGCCCTTCTGTATTTTTCTATTTATTTGAATTTATCTTAAGCTGGTGATCTCCTCTTTTTGCTATATTAGGGTGCCATCCAGTGGCTGACAATGGAATTTCCTCAGACTGTCCAGGCGTCTCAAATTCAGATTCAGTTCCAGGGGGGCTTTGCAAGCCAAAAATTAATTCTGCAAGGTAAAAAAAAACTCACCCGCAGTTAAAAATGCATGCCCTTGCTCAGTCTTTTTCTATCTGAGAAACAGAGGTGTGTGTGTGTGTATTTTAAATATTTAAATGCATTTAACGTGATGGCGTTAAGCAGCAAAACTGAGGCTGGGTTTGAGACCTGAGCGCTGCACAACGGGGTGAGCTCCTATTACTTCCCTCAGCTCCTTGCAATTTGAAAGCATGCAAATGCGAGTAGATAAATAGGTACCACTTCTGTGGGAAGATAGCGCGTGCATGTCGGCACCCACAATGCAATGAGCCCCGCTCCCCCCTGTGCATGTGCGCACAACCCCCCCCCTTACCTGCACTGTGCATGCGCGCACTTCCCAGCTTATCGGAAGTGCCAAAATGGGCCTGTTTTTTGGCCTCCAAGGGCTGCAGAGGCTTCTCTTGAGCCCCTGGAAGGGGGAAAACGACCTCAGGCTCCAGAGGCTCTCCGGAGGCTGAAAACGGGCACTTCTGGTATTTCTGGCTTCCCTTGAGCCTCCAGGAGGGTGAAAAAGGCCTCAACTGGGCTGAAAATCAGCTGTGAGGTGCGTGCATGCGCAATGCAGGTAAGCTTGGCTGGGGCTCACGTGCCCACACAAATGGATCTGCGTGCGATCTGTGGCACGCATGCCATAGGTTCTCCATCAGGGCCTTAAGATATTGGCCAGGTTGGAGACCAGAGAGGTCCCTTGGTACCTTGTTTATGTTCACTTAAATCAGAGGTATCAAACTCAAGGCATGCGGGCCGGTGCTTAGATCTGGCCCACGGGGCTTCTATGGAAACCCCGAAGGTGTCAGGATTCCAAGTAACAACCTCCAAGGAACGAGGCTCCGAGAATATCGTCTTCCCAAAGATCCACTTTATTAGAGATGTCATATTGGCACATCTGGGGAAAACCCAAATCTGAGAGTTCTGGGTTTTCCCTAACCCCAAGGAAAACCCAAAATCCAACCCCTGCAACCAACTGTCCATCACATTGTCCAATCCTCACTTCGTTCCAACTGGAGACTACGCCCAGTCACTCCCCGGTGCAAGGTAACATGGCCTTGACTTTCTGAGAAAGGAATGTTGTTGTGGGTAATCTTCCACCGCTCCTTGAAATCCCCCCTCCCAAATTCCCAGGCACTGAATGTGGCAGCCCAGAAGCCTCAAAGAAAAAAATGGCTTCCAAGCTGACAGAAGGAACAGCCCACAGTGCCAGCTCAACACCACTCATTTTTGGCCACAATGCCTCCTGCAGCCCTCTACCAGCGAAAATGGAGCTTGCAGGCTTCCCCGGGCTCCATTTTCACTGGCAGAGGGCTGCAGGAGGCATTGCAGCCGAAAACGAGTGAAGTTGAGCTGGCCATGCCCACGCCAGCCACACCCACTCACCCTCCCGATGCCCCCGATGCCCAGCCCTGATGTGGCCCTCAGTGAAATTAAGTTTGACACCCCTGACTTAGACCATGATATCTCTTAAACTGGCGATGGCTTAAATTCTGTAGTCCAGTCTGTAGAAGCATCCTGTGATGACCCGGGGTGTGGCACAAAGGCAACACAGTCAAATAAGCAAGAAGAGTCCCTTTATTATCTCCAACTTTGCCCCCAATGTCCAGGTTACCTTTGGCTGGAGAAAAACTCTCTCAGGAACAGCCTTTAAATGGAGGAATTTCAGTCCGTAAACAAAGTACATACAAACTGTAACTAAAAATCCAAACAAACCATGCTGCAGTAATTAACTTGACGGGGCAGGAGAAGGAATTGCAGACTTGAAAGGCCAGGAAAACACAGACAGTTAGGAAGACGCCAGGAACACAGATAAGCCTCGACAATACCAGATAATTCACAATTTGCTCTCAACAAATTGCTGTGCGCAGCTTCCCTTTTTAAACACTGTGTTCCCAGCTGCAGCTAAACGAAGGGAATTAAGGCCCTTTCCTCCCCCATAAGCCACGCAACTCACGTTGCTCCCTTCTCCATTCCTCCCTGCGTGCCCTAGGATGAAGAGGAGGTGGGCCTGGGTTTTCCTCCGAATTCCCTCTCCCTTGCTCTACCTCTCCCCTGCTCTGCCCAGCTGGACTTTGCCCTTCCCCAGTTTCTTCCACAGCCAATGGAGCCACATTCCCACTCCCTGTCAGCTGCTTGGCTTCCCCCTCCGAATCAGATTCCGAAAGGGTCATGACACATCCATGGCTCAATCTGATCAGATTTGTTTAGGTGAGTTTGATTTTTTAAACACCAATGAAATAGACATACTATTTTGATGAATTCAGCCAACTAGTTGGCTTGCCGATCGTAGCTTATTACATCTAACAGGTATAGGGTGATTGGCTGGAACCAGGCAGTGGCTAGAAGTCATCTTGCAATACAAGAAGTGCTCAGCAACCATAATGGAGCTTATCTATCATGGTTGTAAGCCTGATGGTCACAAATCAAGTCATCCATGTGACCAAACTTTCAGGATTATTACTTTTCCAGTGGTTATTAAGTGAACCCTCCAGTTCTCAAGCAAACCAATGGTTTGCTGTTAGCCAATTTTGCCGAAAACTGGAAGTAAATGAGTTTTTAGCAAAACCGGAAATAAAATCCAGTTAGATAACTATGGGATGCTGCAAGTGGCTATAAACACTGGTCACATTATGGAGACTCGGCTGTTAGAACGTCTGAACTGTCGTAAGTAACCCCAGGGAGATCTGTCATAACTCGGAACAGTCACGAAACAACCAGTTGTGAATGGAGGGCTGCCTGTACCATCTCTTCCTCAGTACTTTCTCTTTCCAATTTCTTTTCATTGTGAAATGTGAGGTGCCTGATAATACCAGTGAGAAACACTTCCCGAATATTTTCCCAACTGCAAATCTTTTTCTGCATTCAAACTTCCAAAGGTGGCCGGAAAGGAGCTGCTCTCTCGACTGTTGCTGAATTCTACCCTGAAGATAACAATTCTCTCCAGATATCCTTTACCAACTAATTCAGAACGCCAAGAACTGAAATAACAAAATGTGTGGATCTATGGCTCATATACAACTCTGCAGGGTTTTCTGGTTTGATTGCCGCTTTGTTTCCTATTTTGTTCTTCCGGCATCTCTCCCTGCGTTCACACAACCTTTTCTATCCACATGCTAGTTTACCCAATGTGTGAACGTTCCTCCCTGCCCTGTAGATGAGTTATTCAGTAAATTAAGCCTTTGCCACCCTGTGGTTAGAATGCAGTATTGCAGGCTGACTCTGCTCACTGCCAGCAGTTTGATCCTCACCAGCTCAAGGTTGACTCAGCCTGCCATCCTTACGAGGTCAGTAAATGAGGACCCAGATGGTTGGGGGCAGAGGTGGTATTCAGCAGATTCCAACCAGTTCTGGAGAACCGATAACGGAAATTTTGAGTAGTTTGGAGAACCAGCAAATATCACCTCTGACTGGCCCTGCCCCCATCTATTCGCTGCCTCCTGAATCTCAGCTGAATTGGCTGGGTCTCCTTTGGTTGCCCTGCACAGGAGAACAGAGCTGGAAAGCAGGTTAGTGGGGTGGGGAGGGAATGGGGATTTTGCAGTATCCTTCCCCTGCCACACCCACCAAGCTCACACCCACTAAGCCACGTCCACAGAACTGGTAGTAAACTTTTTTGAATCCCATCCCTGGTTGGGGACAAGATGCCAACTCTGTAAACTGCTTAGAGAAGGCTGTAAAGCACTATGAAGCGGCATATAAGTCTAAATGCTATTGCTGTGCACATTATAGATGCATTGCCGTAATAAATAATTTTAGGTACATTGTGTAACCCCCCCCATAAAAGATCTTCATCCCCAGTTGTGTTATTATTTTGGGGGGTTCTATTTCTACTCTATTTCTATTAGACACCTCCTGTTCCTTAACTCCTGCTTCTTCTACAGCTTCCCGTTCAAAGCAGAACCGCTGGATAAACTGAAAATAACTTTTCAAAACAGCTCGGATTTCTTTGGACGAATTATCGTCTACCACCTTGACATCCTTGGGCAGAAACTTTGATAGAGAAGGAGCGAGAAGCTGAAGGATTTGTGAAGCCGGTGGACTGGCCTGAACCCCTGTCAGAAATGGTGTAGGGCGGAGGGTTGGACTAGATGACCTACAAGGTCCCTTCCAACTCTGATTATCTGTTAAATTTGTGTAGAAAAGAGGGACCTGGGGGGACGTGTTAGCAATGCTCCAGTATCTCAGGGGCTGCCACAAAGAAGAGAGGGTGAACCTATTTTCTAAAGCACCTGAAAGCAGGACAGGAAGCAATGGATGGAAACTACTCAAGGAGAGAAGCAACCTGCAACTTGGGAATTTCCTGACCGTGAGAACAATCAACCAGTGAAACTGCTTGCCTTCCGAAGTTGTGGGTGCTCCATCACTGGAGGTCTTTAAGAAGAGAACAATTAAAAAGTGCTTAGAAATTCTGGTCCCCGTTGTTGCAATTCGAAGGCTACCTTTACATGCAAGCCTAAATCGGATGCGTTCGTGGAGATGAGAAAGACCAGGAGTAAAATGTTAAAAACCAGATCCGAAGCAGCCGATTTGAAAATGAAAATCACTGAACAAGCCTGTTACATATACATAGATATATATATATAAATATTTATTTCTGTTAAACAAAAATATTCTCTTCGGTCTTGTGAAAGTTTTTCAGTCAGCGTCTCTTGACCCAACCCTGATTCACACCCAGCAACTGAGGAAACAGCATTACTCCCCCCCCCACCTCTTCTGCAACACATGTTAGAACAAAAGAAGATTTTTGTATAACTTAAAAACAGGGGTCTCCAAACTTAGCAACTTTAAGACTTGTGGACTTCAATTCCCAGAATTCCTCAGCTTGACCACGCTGGCTGAGGAATTCTGGGAGGACAATTCTTTAAAAAGTTGCTAAGTTTGGAGGCTCCTGACCTAAAGGAAGGTTCTGCTCAACACAGTTTCCTCCCCCACCCCCAAGCCCCAAAAATGTCTGGTATGGCATTCGGGAGAAGTTTCCATAAATCTGCAGGAGCAGGTAAATTAGCAATTCCTTGAGAAGAAAGTAGGCTTGATATCGGGATCCTGTAACCCACTGTTCAAGAAGGCAGAGTTTCTTTTGGAAAAACTCAGGTGCTTCTTTCTGTACCCTGTTGTCTGAAAATGCCCAGTTCTGCACCATCTCTGTAGGCTGGCATGGAAGGTGCCTGTCTCAAAGACCCACTTCCATCCACTTCTTCGATTCCGGAGGAGAAAACGGAGCTATTCATCACTTGGACTCTTCTCTTTTGTCATTTCTTTCCTTGTTCCGCAATAACTTGAGAATGTGTTTTTCAATCACTTGCTGGACTGGAAAGCAAAGAATTTTTTACTGTTGGGAAAAGTAGTCATCACTTTTGGCAGTGATTTGTTTTCAAAAGCTTGTTTCAGCTTAATTTCTGAACGTCTCCTTACCAGACTAGGTTACATCATCAGCAAGTACGTTTTTGTCCTATTCTCCTTAGCCATTCGAATGGCCAATCAACAAGAGAACCAATCAACTGCTCAGAATTTAAATATAACTCCAAACAACCAACCAATCACACAAACAACTCAAAACAAACAACCAATCACACAACCACACTGGCACACAAGACATTCATAAACTAAGAAGAATAGTACAAGAAAATCTGGCTGATTATGTTACCTAGTTATTTTGCATTAAAACTGCCCCTTTTCTTGCTCCAATCCTGACAGGTTCCTTAAATTGATTTGATCAGGTGTGTTGTATGAGCCTAACTTCTTTTTTTTCCTAGCTCCTAAAATCCAAAAGAGCTGAACATCCAGCCTCTCCTATATTCCTATTTTGTTAATTATTTCGATTCTAGTTGACTTTTCTCCTCAAAAGCATTATATACTTGCCTGTATTCATTATCACAACAATCCTGCAAGATAACAAGAGGCTATAATTCTGCCAAGCAAAGTCAGCTTGTAATGGAGACTTCGCTGATTTCCTGGCTGTGATAAACAAGGCCAAAGATCGTTATCTAGACATACGTTGATCATATTTTAGAGTTTGTTTCATATTTTGTATTTTTTATCTTTTGTGTTTTTATCAAAATGGGATGTGAATGTGCTACAAGGTAATAAGTCTGCCAAGAAAAAACTGTGGCTTGGTTTGCCTGTCTGGGAAGTTGGGTGTTGTGACTCGGACAGTGAGGAGGTTGTGGAGGAACACAGGCCAGTCCTGGAGTCTGGGGAAGGCTCTGATGAGTGCTCTGCATTGGAGGCAGAAATGGGGCCAAGGCCATCCGACAGTTATCAGCTGCCTTCAGAGTCGGAGATCAGTGGGGCAAAAAAACAGTTGGAGTCTGTTCCTGATGTGCGCTTGCACAGAGCTGCCAGAAGAAGGGAACAATTAAGGAACAAGGGTTGACTCAGGAGTAAAAGCTCAGATGGACGGTGAATGGCCATAGAGAATAAAAGAGGAGCGAAAGGGGAGTGGTGTTTCCAGGAGACAATCAGTTCAATTCATTAGGTGAAGATCTGTTCCTGACTTCTTGCTAAGTAATTTCTGCTACAGTGTGGCGTTTGGAAGATATCGGCCTGGTAACTCTCCAAGCCCGATAAAGGTATGTAGTTGTGAAATCTCATGAAAGACTGTTTGCCGGGACTTTGCTGGAGAGGAATTCCCTTTAATCTAAATAAAAGGGATTTTTATCAGGCCGAGGAGTTTGCTTCATGGTCTAGGCCTAGTTCAGAACAGTGGGGCTACTATGAAATAATTCCCCCCTCTCAAACTTACCCTTTTTATGACCCAAAGCCACCGCGAGGTCCATTGGAGTATAGCCAGAATCTGCTTCGGTGGTAAGGTCTGCGCCGCGGGCTGAAAACACAGAGCAAAAATTGGATGGGTTATGAGTCCCCACATCATCATAACAAGCTAAAACTCAGAAATAATTACAATGAATGATCATATACGAGTGGGAGATTTTTCCTCATCCACCCTACAGCCCCGATCTTGCACCAAGCGAAAGCATTCAGGACTTCTCGAGTGCTGTAGTTCGGCCATTTTTATACTTAATGCGCCATTGGTGCACTCCACCTTCAGTGATGATGTTGTCCGCGTACACTTCACACAGTTGCCGAAAAATTTCAATCGGTTTATGTTTTTTTGCCAACAGAAACCTTATCACTGATCGTACCTCACAACTCTCGGGATTTTCAATTGCAGCACACATTTCAAACGTTTGCTGTGAAATAACAGGCAATGATACGAACCTCCCACTAGCACGACTAGATGCAGACTGAGCGGCGGACGCACAGACCAAAGATGGCCGCACTAGCTCCGCCACTTCTTGCTACAGACGAAAACATAATCTATTTTGTGGATAGCCCTCATAGATTGTGGACTTCCCTGCAGCCAAAGTTTGGGAAGGATTTTGTGGCAACTTAAAAGACTAGGAAAAACATTGTAGCTGAGGCTTAAAAGGACTGAAATCTGCTTCCATTAACCCAGGAAAGGGTAACTTGCAGGTTCCCAAATACAGGTAGTGCTCAACTTAACGACCACAATTTAGCCCAAAATTTCTGTTGCTAAGCAAGACATCGGTTAAGTGACTTTTGTCCATTTTACCATTTTTCTTGCCACAGTGCAGTGAATCACTGCAGTTATCAAGTGAACCTAGCTTCCCCATTGACTTTTCTTGTCAGAAGGTTACAAATGGTGACCTGGGACACGGCAACAGTCATAAATATAAGTCAGTTGCCAAGTGTCCAAATTTTGATCACATGACCATGGGGGATGCTGCAACAGTTGTAAGCAGGAAAAACAGTTGTAAGTCACTTTTTTCAATGCTGTAACTTCAAACGATCACTAAATGAACTGTTGTAAGTTGAGGACTATCTGTATTATTATTATAGTTGGTTGCACAATCAGCCAGATGTTTAGCCTGGATTTGGCATTTTAGTTCGCTTGAGTCCTTCCTAGGAATCTGGGCTAGACAGGTGTTCTTTGATGGTGTTAAAGGCATCGTCACAGGATAGAAGCTATTCCAAGCTGCCTTTTGCAATTGACTCATGATGATTTTGTCAATGCCAATGATGTTCAAGGGATGCTCCAGATCTTTTTGGGATTGCACCCAAGGGACCTATTACTATTGTTATCTCCTGGAATTCCTCCTGACTGGGTCATAAAATTTTGATGGAGCCAATTGCCCCAAACTGATACTCCGGTGTTCTGCCATCTTTGGATGGAATCACAGTCAATGTTTTATAATCTGTAGTGTACATGAAAAACAAAATGCTTAAACCTGGGAATAATTTAAAAGCTACCAAAAGGTTGCCTTCCCCCTCCTCCCCCATTGGAAAAAAGTATTCTGGCATGGAGGGTTTAGAAGATCAAGCATAGCAGGTATGTTTGACTTACCTAACAAGGCCTCAACGCATTTCACGTGATTACCCCGTACAGCGTAAAGCAGTGGAGTCCCACCATTCTGTAAAGATGGTTGATAAGGTTAAGCCACAGTTGTCCAGATTATTTTTATTTGGAGGGGGAGTGGTTGTGAGAAGATTGGTGCTACTTTTGGCTAGGGAAATTTCTACCTCACCAATCCTTACCCTGGGCCACATTTCAATGCAGTTGAGGGGGCCAATATTCAAAATATCTAATCATGGAACTTTTAATCATGTTGGCTAGGGAAATTGAGAGATTTAGAATTATTAGGGTTAAGAGAACTCCCCTCTTAGCCACGGTAATTTCTCTCCCACCCCCCAGTCCATCATCTCATCTCCAAAACTATAAAGACAGTGTTTCTCAACCTTGGGGATTTTAAGATGAGTGGACTTGAATCCCCAGAATTCTCCAGCCAGTCATTCTGAGAAATTGAAGTCCATGCATCAAGTTCCCAGAGCTGAGAAACGTGTCTAAGAATCATAGCTCTCCTTTCTAAATGCCTTTTGATCAAGAGGGCACCTGCACTTAGATTCTTTCACCTGGTTTGCTCCACAGGGGTTGGAACAGGTCCCATAATCCCCATGGCCTAATGGGACAATGGGACTTGGAGTCCAGCCTCTACAGAAGATAATAGGGCTCAACAAGGCAAGATTCAAATTTTAAAGTTAGGTTGTACTGTAATTCAAATCCCCTTTCAGCCACACCTTTGATCTCAATTATAGCATCTTATTATCTTGCAGGATTGTTGTGATAATGAATAGGGCAGGTATATAATGTTTTTGGGGAGAAAAATCAACTAGAATCAAAATAATTAACAAAATAGGAATATAGGAGAGACTGAATGTTCAGCTTGTTTGGATTTTAGGAGCTAGGAAAAAAGAGGTTGGGTGATCAAGTCAATTTAAGGAACCTGTCCAGATTGGGGCGAGAAAAGGGGCAGTTTTAATCCAAAATAACATCACGGCAATTCTGAGTTAAATTACAAGTCCCCATAAATTATGTTACGCTGACCCCAAACACATTCCAACTCTGGGATGGTGTCCAAAACTGTTGTCCAGTTAATCTTCCAAGAGAAAAGAGACAAAGAGGCAGAAATTTAGACAACCCACATCCTATCTCCCATCTCCCCATTTTAGAGAAGGTTGCTGAAAAGATGGCAGATTTGCAATCATAAAGAACTGAAGAGGAAGCAGATAACCTCTCAATGTTCTTCCATCCAGGTCCGAACCTGGAGAAGGGTACCAAAGCCACTAATGGCTTTTGTGGATGATTCGTGGTTGGATCAAGCAGAGCTGGCCCTACAGATGTCTCCATGGCTTTTGACCCATCAATCATTCTATCTTACTGGATCACTTCAGCTCTCCTCCCTCAGTACCACAGACAGTTACCCAATCATAGGTGTTGATGTCCACGGCCTTCTCCAACAGCAAGGTGACAATGCCCGTGTATCCTCCTGTGCTGGCGAGAGACAAGGCACTCTCTCGCTCCTTAGCGAGGATGTGGGGATCTGCACCCTACGGAGAGTAAGAAAGATTTAGAGCAAGGGCCTCCAACCTTGGCAACTTTAAGACTTGTGGACTTCAACTCCCAGAATTCCTCAGCCAGCCCAACCTTGGCAACTTTAAGACTTGTGGACTTCAACTCCCAGAATTCCTGAGCTAACATGACTGGAGGAGGAATTCTGGGAGTTGAAGTCCACAAATCTTAAAGTTGCCACGTTTGGAGACCCCTGATTTAGAGAACGCTCAAAACTGATGCCAGAAATATTGGCTTTCTAAGGCCATTGTCTCTAGGCAAGCTTTCATACCCATTCTAGCATGCTGCGGACGGTTTCAATCTCTCCAAAAGCCGAGGCCCACATCAGAGGGGTAAATCCTCGCTCATCTGGCTTGTTCAGTAGGTTCTCACCTGTAAAAGGGATGAAGTGGTCAGTGGGGCCTGACTGAAATCCATGTTTTGGAGAAAAATTTACTGAGTGGAAAATCTCCAGGCTGTATTTCTTTCTAGCACGATGCTTCTAAAAGTATGGCCCTAAAACTGTCAGGGGGTCCTCAAGGAGTGCTCAAAATCAAAATTATTTGCCAGCCTATATTATAAAAATAACAAAATATTAAAATTCCATTGATCAAACATGAGACTGTAGCAATAACAAATGCGTTGGTTTTAATTTTTAATACAGCGAATGTAACTCATACAAATAAAAATTCTTTTGGGGTCCTCCATAATTTTTAAAAGAGCTTCTCACTTCTCACTATCAGGAACCTTCTGGGTCCTGATAGAAAGTTTAAGAAACACTGCTGTAGTATAGTGTTTTGCAAACAGAGCGACTTTAAGAGGTGTGGACTTCAACTCCTAGAATTCCTCAGCCAGCATGTCTGTCTGGGGAATTCAGGGTATTGAAGTCCACAATTCTTAAAAGTTGTTCAAACTAAGCAACTTTAGAAGAATGAGCAAACTAAGACTTTCTGGCAGAAGAATGAGAAACTGAGAAATTTCATGGCTCACCTTTTCGGAGATTTTCCTTTAACAGGTTCAGTTCACCCTGAGCTGCAAGCTGGTGAATGGACAGAGCTGGAAAATGAAAAGGGAAGACGATCAAGACAGCTTAAGGGTGGTTTAAAATGTTAATAAATTAATAAATATGAATGAGCCGTTCCACATAATGCAACTTGATATATCTTTATAACAATCAAGCACAATTCAGATTTACTGAGGCATAGAGTTGCTAATTCAAGTAAGTTTATATATTATGTAATTTTATACGGATTTCAGTGGGTGAGTAAGGCGCTACCGTATTCTTCTGACTATAAGACACACCTAGGTTTAGAGGAGGAAAACAAGAAAAAAAAATGTTTGCCTCTGCGCGTCCTGTTTTTTCCCTCCCTGGCATCCACAGAAGCACTCTGCAGGCCCAAAATGGGCCTGTTTTGGGCCTCCCAAATCCTCTGTGTGTCCTGTTTTTGCCCTCCCTGGCATCCAGAAATACTCTGCAGGCCAAAAAGGAGCTCATTTTTGGCCTCCCAAACCCACCACACATCCACTTTTCGACCTCCCTGATGTCGGAGAAAGCACAAACGGAACACACAGAGGGTTCAGGAGGCCAAAAACAGAGCTGTATTCCTTCTATAAGACTCACAGACATTTCCACCCACTTTTTTGGGGGGTGGGTGGGTGGGTGCATCTTATAGTCCAAAAAATACAGTAAGTGCTATATTACCTACATTACCTTGACAAACCCATTTGACCAAAATTTGACTCAAAGAACAATGAACACAAAAGCTTGATTATAAGGAAACTGTATTTTTCATCCAGTGACTTATATAGCATATATTTTATTATTAAGAGACTAAAATTGGCTCCATTTCTCTTGCAACATTCAAATTAATTCATATCAATTGATTTGGACCTAATCTCTAAATCAGACCTGATTTGAACCATGAAATGTTCAAAAGACAACAACAAATGAATTGTCCCAGCGTGATTCACCCCTATTTGAATTAGTTAATGAATTCAATGAACCAAATACTGGCAAAAGCCTAGCAGATTTTCAGAACAAGAGGGAAAAAAGACATTTTTCTTTCTTCCAAGAAACTATGTGTTTAACAGAAATAAATAAACAGTAGTGTAACAGCAAGATGAAAGCTGCAACTTAAAGTGAAAAAAAAGTTTTAGAAATCAATCTTTCATTTTTGAATGTATTCGGTTAGAGTGACTGCAGTGCACTCCTGCACTGACAAGGGGATAGGCTAGATGACCTCCAAGATCCCTGCCAAGCCTTACATTCTATGATTTTGGAGTTTCATGTTGATGAGCTGTGTTGCTTTATATATGCGTACTTGCATGGACTGTGGGCTGCCCTGAGGTTTATGAACAACTATGAATCCCTAACATTTGTAATAAATAAATACAACTTCTCCCATTCTTTCTCAGATACAATATTTAAAATAACATTTGAATGCCTTTGGCCTATTGGTCTTCCACTTCAACAGGTTTTCCCCTCTCTGTGCTTAATTTTTGACAGCTGACTGTGCTGGACTGACACAACCTAAAAAGGTTTTCCTTTTGAAAAAAACTCACTATCCAAAGTGGCCGGCAAGGCAGACACTTCATTGCCACGCTGGCGATTTGTCAGAGTGCTGGAACGCTTCAGGATCCCATCTGCATTTTGAGAAATGAAAGGAAGAGAACAATGAATCTTTAGCTCTATTGAATTCACCACCATCAGCAAGATTCCCTTGGCTCGCTGAGTTGTAGCCTTGCTTTAGAAGTCCAGTTGAGGTCCTCCAAGATAAACCCTAAGGCAGGAATATCCACAGAGTGCACACAAAAAAGTCAAAATGGCTACCACAGAGCCATGGAAGCTTTGCCTGTTTATGTGGGCAGCCATGCTACTGTGGTGGCCATCTTGCCTTTTTTGACTATGGCCCTGCTCTAAGTAACAAACAAATAGGAGAAAAAGAAGGCATTAAATTAATGCCAATCTGGTTAAGAATTAACCAAAAATTTTAAATAAAAAATTTAAATTAAAGAATTTTTCTTCCAACTCTTCCTAGTACAAGATAAACACACTCCAACCTCAACTTTTTGCTTTTTTAAATCTCTTGTATCTCACACCCCCTTTCCCCCTGTTTACTTTCCCTCCCTTAATTTCTTATTTTCTTTTCTTCTTTGTATTTTATATAATAAAAATAAAAATAAAAATGATTCATAGTGAAGAATTCACCATTTTTGCAGATCTGCCTTCCACTTTTTATGTACAATTTAAACTGGGCACATTTACTCCGTGGGCCGGAAAAGATTCAACAAATGAACTATTCTTTGATCTTTTGGCCGAATACAGAGCACAGAAACTTCCCATCTGGGTGACATCTGCATTTTTCCTCTTTATATTTATATATAAGGCACTGAAATGCTCTCAAGAGTTATAAAATCTTTACTGAATTATATGGGATTTATTTTTTATTATTTTTTTATTGAAAATTAAATTTTAAAAACATTTGAACATAGTGATCTTTTGACATATATCAGCAGTCTTTACATTGTTATATCAGAATATCATCAAACAATATAACATACACACACACACATATCTATATACATCTTTGCATTGTAGATCTTCATATTCATTCCGATCTTAGGAATTTTATTGTAGTATAAACTCTTTAATTTCTATTTTACATTTTTTTACTTCCTTTCATATCCCTCCAATTATAAATTTTTTCCATATTTCTTAGAATTCTGAAGTATCTCGTTCCTTTAGTTCTAACATTAAGCTAATTTTTTTATTATTAAATGAGGTTTATTTTTCAGTGTGTACAGGATTGCAGTTTAAATTAAAGACAGTATTCCACTACTCAGCATTTTCATAATTCCTAATTTAACTTGAATACAGGTAGTCCTTGAGTTATATTCACTTAATGACCATTCAAAGTTACAACAGCACTGAAAAAAATGACTTATGGCCATTTTTCACACTTACAACTTTTGCAGCATCCCCGCGGTCACATGATCAAAATTCAGCTGTTTGGCAACTGGCCCCTATTTATGACGGTTGCGCCTCAGGGTCACATGACCCCCTTTTGCGACCTTTTGGCAAGCAAAATCAGTGGGGAAGCCAGATTCGCTTAACAACCATGTTACTAACTTAAAAACTAGTGATTCACTTAACTGTAAAATGGGGCAAAATTCACTTAACGACTGTCTTGCTTAGCAACAGAAATTTTGGGCTTGATTGTGGTCATAAGTCGAGGACTACCTGGATCATAAGACTGAGAAACTTCCATTTTTACTCTGAAAAAAAACAACAGATTTTTGGAAGCTGATTTCTGCTGCAGTTATCCTCTCATATCTAACCTTCCACTCAGAATTCCCTCCATTCGGACTTGAACGTACCATTTGAATCATCCCCAGCTTCTGAATATGGAAACAACTGCAGATTTATTATCGTGTCATCGTCATCTTCATCTTTTCTGTCACTAGCTGAAACTTCAGGATCCCTCCGGCCGGTGCCTTGGATCATTTTAGAATTGCAGCGTTGTTCTTGTGTCTGCAGGTGTGTTGACACACTCTGAAAGTGAAGTGATAACACTGAATGGCATGGGCTGGCTCGGAAGCTCGGAGGGGCATACCTGTCAGGATAGAACCAGCATACCTGGTAGGATAGAACCACAATTAGTTAATGCAGTGTTTCTCAATCTTGGACACTTTAAGAGGGGTGGACTTCAACTCCCAGAATTCCCCAGCTAGCAAGGGGAATTCTGGGAGTTGAAGTCCACCCCTCTTAAAGTGGCCATGGTTGAGAAACCCTGAGCTAATGGATGAATACATAACCAGCTATGGATTAACAATGGCCAAAGTGGAAGCAGTGAAGCAATTTCAAACAGGAGCAACTTGGTTTGAAGATGCAATTCTTAACTCACCTTTCCTTTCCTGAGACTTCTTGAACCAGGTTTAGAAGGACAGACACCGAATGATCATAGCATGATCGTCTGCGATCCCAGCTTCGACAGGAAGTAACGTTAACAAACAACCCTGCAGCCCTCTCTGATGCAAAGTGAAAATAACTTTCTCTTCCCACAATGCATCTGAATCTCTGGTTGTTGTTGTTTTTTAAAAAAACATCTGCCTGGTGGGCCCTTTAAGGGATTCCCGGGACTTTACGGAATTTTATGAATGAACCGACGGAATTGGCGCCACCCACCCGAACACTCCGCCTATTATGTGCCAGAAGGGGGCGGAGCTGCTTTCCTCCCAAATGTTGAGCCTTAAAGGGACCGCTCTTTTGTTGGTTTTTAAACCCAAAGTAAAGGGCTCTCGACTCTCATCAAGCAAAAAATGAATTCTTCCCTGGCAATTTCAGGAACTCCCGATGTTCGCTTGTAAAATTTTAGATTGCGATGCAGCTATTAAAAATAAATATAAGATATCTGGGGCTGGCTTGATTTCCTTGGCTAAAGAATAGCTAAGGAAGCTAAAAACGATCCCAAAACAATGTTGGACAAAATAAGATATTGCATTTTTTTTCTCTTTTTTTTCTTTTCCATGCCCTTCTTTTTTTTCCTTCCTTCCTTCCTCCCTCCCTCCCTCTTTCCCTTCCTTTTCTCTCTTCTCTTCCTTTGGCTTAGAAAATTCATCTAAAACTAACCCCCTAAAACCATGGGACACGTTTCAATCATTTTTTAAAAAATTGTTTAAAGAGTTAACAAATTTGAAATAAAAGTGATCGTACTGGCCCATATTTTTCTTTCAAAGCCCATTCCTTGCTTGCAAAACAGTTCCATTACTTTCTATAAGATTACATTCACAAAACATGTTCAAGAAGTTTGGCTACTATTTTTAATCCATTTTTTGAGTATGGATAATCCAATGTCAAACTAACCAAACAAGGGGTGTTTCTAATCCAACCTAAGACAGAATGAAGCCTAAATAAGTCTTCAATTTTCCATGCTCAGCACGTGCAAACACAGCATAAATGTTCTCATTTTGGGAGGCCCCAGACAAAACAACCAATTCTGTACAGTAAAACAGTGTTTCTCAGCCATAGCAACTTTAAAAATATATGGCTTTCAAGTGCAAGAATTCCTCAGCTGGCATATAAGAAATATCATAAATAAAACCACACTAAAATCGATATAGCATAAAAACAATAAATACAAAAACTGAAAACACAGGAACAGACCAAACATTTAAAAAAATAAAATCTTTAGAAGAACATTCCATGGTTTCTGGAAGACGTTCCTCTACTGAGCGCAGCGGGATTTATTTCCAGAATCCACTGACCATGGTAGAGAGACTCATTGAATACAATAGAAGCAAAAAAGAGTACATTAAGTACTTAGGGATTGGTGACATCCATTCATCTGGAAAGGGAAACGCTCTCTTATAAGCCTTGTCATCTTTTTAGGCCTGAACCCCGGCACGGGAAATCCGGGCATCCAATAAATCAACAAATCCTGACGGATGAAAGAAACGGTACATTTTCCGCAACGTTTTAATTTAAAAAAAAAAAACCCAATAAGAACCTTTCTCCTCGGGCGGTGTTTCCACACAGGTACGTTTCTGACGATGCACCCAGCTTTCCGGAAGTTGCTGCTCGGCTGGAATTCCGCCCCAGCTCTGCGGTCCGCTTTTTCTCACGCCGGGTCGGGCTCTGTTCGGTATCATGGAGGAGGCTGAAATGCAGCTGAAAGTGAAAAAGGGTAACAATGACGGCTACTTCCGGGTTATGTTACACTAAAATAAGTCCGGGGAAGAATGGAGAAAAGGGTGCTTATTCTCTCTGCGACCCTCTGGGTTAAGATTTTAGGTATTAGTGGAGCAAAAGTAAAACTGGCCTGCGGGATCCATGCCATGACAATTTCTGCCAATCGGGTGGAATACCAACAGTTTTTAATTTTAATATTGAAAAAAATGGCTCCGTTTCAGTATAGATCAGGCATCTTCTCCCCAAGCTAGAAATAGGACAGGGGAGTTCTGTTGCATTGAATGAGAGCTTTCATTTTTACTGGTCTGACTCTGCGCATGCGTTCTCATCCAACCTATGCTGGGTTGCAGCTGGCTAAGGCGTGGATAGGAGACCACTCAGTAATTCCAGAAAAGTAGGCTGACCTGAGAGTGGAGAATGGCAATAGCAAGCTAACTGTTGTGTTGTTGCCAAGAAGCTGTTGTGGCCAAGAAGGAAAGAAACAAGTAGAGCTAAGGAGAAATTTCCTGATGGTGAAAGCAGTCAACCAATGGAATAACTTCAGAAGTTGTGGGGTGCTCCATCACTGGAGGCTTTCAAAGAGATTAGACAACCGTGTGTGAAATGCTATAGGGTGTCCTGCTTGAGCAGAGGGTTGGACTAGAAGCCTCTGAGGTCCCTTCCCACTGTATTATTCTGTGTCCTAAGTTCCCAGCAGTTGAGCTTGACCTAAACCTTTTGTTTTAAGACTGAAGATGCAGCTTGAAAGACTGCATGTTTCTCCAGAAATAAAATCATCTAGAATGAGCCGGATTTACTCCTCCAATTAGTATTTTAACCTTTGAAAAGAGCATGCTGGAAACTCGGTTCTCAACTGTTCAGTTGTAGTCTCTGCGCCTAACTTCCTCACTGGTTCACTGTGAGCATAAAGGGATTGGGCCACATTAATTTGACCTAAGCTTAAAGATACATTTTAATCATAATAGTATTGAGAATTCTAGCTAAATTTGGGTTGGTGACTGGGTGAGTTTGGGCCATTTATTCTCTGTCAGCCCAACCTTCCTCACAAGGTTGTTGTGGGAAAAATAGGAGGCAGGAGCATTAGCTGTGTTTCCCGCCTTCCATTATTTATTTTTAAAAAGCAGATAAAAATACAATTTTAAATATGTTTGTCACTTTAAATTATATATAAAAATCAGGATATAAATGTAATAATGATACAGCTTATATGCTGTAATGATACCTCTAAGACCATCAAACATCCACATCTGCCTATCCCAGGTCCTTGGGAAGGACTCAATAGGGTAACAAAAATGCCAAATCCAGTCTGAATATCTGCCTGACTGTGCAACAAACCATAAAAACTGAAGTAGGAAAGAGTCACATTCATCATCAGCCTCCTGAATTCTTAGTCTGTTTTCCAGTTTCATTTCTCTCCTTTTGCACCAATGTTCATCTATCATTTTGAAGCAGTTGTCTTTTTTTAGACTGCCAACTACCTTAACTTTTTTCCTGGTTAGTTTTTATACTTTGGAATTTTCTCAAAGCCTAAACATCCCTTTCTTGTATTGGTGGCTTGAAGTTATGACATGTATTATTTGAACCCTTATTTTTTCTCCTGGTGTGGAAGCAAAGCTCTGAGGAAAAAATATCCTTTCTTTTCTTCTTATAGTGACTGACAAGTTTACAGAAAGCATGTATGTCCTGGCCAATGAACCTTCTGTTGCATTGTATCGACTTCAAGAACATGTCAGGCGCTCTCTCCCAGAACTGGCTGAGCACAAAGTAAGCTGTGATCTGAACTGTAAATGAGAATGGATGTAGTATCATTCCTAGAAATAGTCTATAATAAACCTAATTCTGCTACAGACAGAACTTAGGAGCTCAGATGTTTAATAATTTGTAATTCCTCACAGCCAGAAAAGTAGTATATTGGGAAAAGGGAAATTGGACACTTTTTCCATGATACGTTAGTTTTCAGTGTGCAAAGTATCAGGCTAATGTAGAGGCAACTATGAGGAGTATGCTTATGCATATCTGCTAATTGAAGTCTCCAGAGCATTTTCTGTAATGGAGGATTACTGGTCTTTAAGTCCTGAGTATATCTATCTGGGCTTTTATCAGTTTGTGTTTGTTACATTGCTAGGAAGAATGTGGTAAAGTGCCCCTATGAGAGAGGGAACACTACCATCTTCTTTGAAAGAGTCAGTAATTAGGGTACTCCTGAAAAATAGATTACACCAGATTGAGAAGCAACAGGTCACCATGGGCTGCATATTGGAGGTAGTGACCCTTTGAGACCTGCATGCAATAAAATTTCATTTTAATGTATGCCAATTAATATATATTCAAAGTGACAATAAAGTTATTCTAAGTTCTAAGTTCATCCTTTCACACCCTATTGGTTAAGTAGTTATGGATCACTTCAGAATTGTTTGGGATGCAACTGTATATATCGACTCCATCCAGTTTCAATATCTACGAATATACACAAAATATACATCCAACACTGACTGTGACGCTTTGCCAAGTATAATACACAAGAGATGGATTGTACTGTAATATGTTATTACACATCTGAATGGGGTGTTGAGATTTCACATCTTCGTAGATATTGTACTCTCAAATTGCAAATGGAGATGTGGGTACTCTGTTTTTCTTATCTTCATTTTTAAGTGCTTTGGTTTTATTGTATTGCGAACAGTTGCTGGGGTGCATCCACAGTTTCATTGTATTTGTACAATGACAATAAAGTGCTGCTTCTTTATCGTCCAGTTTCAAGACCTCCTTTGGGAGAAACTCAAAAATTACTTACCTTAAGAAGCTGCATTTTGGGAAGGGAATAATTTCCTTCTGGATAATTATATTAGAGAAAGCTATATCTTCACTACTTCTCTTTGCCCTCTTGGTTGCCCTTTGCTCTCTTTTGAATATGTCCTTGTTACTTAACTGCATTGTTAATTCTCTTATTCAGCATTAACTAAACAGTGATGGGAAGAAATTACAGGTAGTCCTCAACTTGCAACAGTTTACTTAATGACCATTCAGAGTTACAACAGCAATAAAGTGACCTATGACCATTGTTCACACTTACAACTGTAGCAGCATCTCCATGGTCACGTGATCAAAATTCAGATGCTTGGCACCTGATTCATACTTAGGGTGGTTGCAGCATCCTGGGTCATGTGATCATCTTTTCTGACCTTCTGACAAGCAAAGTCAATGGGGAAGCCAGATTCACTTAACAACCATGGGTTACTTAGTTATCAGCTGCAGTGACTCACTTAATAACTGTGGCAAGTAGGGTCGTAAAATAAGGCAAAATTCACTTCACAAATGTCTCCCTTAGCAACAGAAATGTCGGGCTCAATTGTTGTTATAAGTCAAGGACTTAGCTGTATTCTTCCATCCTTCAAAGCAACGAGAAAAGGGTTGTGTGAACTAATGTGGAAAACGGATGGCACGTAAATAGAACATGAGAAAAGGTGACTCTTTTTTTTTTAAAAAAAGTGAATCCCTTGCTTGACCAAAGCCATCATATCTGCTCTTCTTCCATGCTTTGCATAATGTGGTTGACTTGAAAAGAGTATACAGGTAGTTCTCAACAACCATAATTGGGACCAGGATTTCTGAGGCTAAACAAGGTGGTTTTTAAGTGAGTCGCACCTGATTTTATGACCTTTTCCCCATGGTTGTTAAGCAAATCAATCCGGCTTCCCCCACCAGGGTAAATATATACTGGTTGCCAAGCGCTTGAATTTTAATCATGTCATCTTGGAGATGCTCTGAAGGTTGTAAGTGCAAGAACTGGTCATAAATCACCCCGTTGTAATTTTGAATGCTCTCTAAACAAATAGTTGTAAATCAAAGTTTACTTGTAGTGTGACAAATATGTACATATTCTATAAAAGTCAAAAGCTTAAGAGAAAAATGATCAGAAGTAAATCCCTTTTTTTTTCATTTTGCATGTCTGCACAGGACACAAAGGGTAACAGAAAGTGCAGGAAATCTCCTCCCTCTTCCAGATCCTGCCCTTATTCTTTTTCTCTCCCTTCCTGCTTTTGAAAAAGAAAAATTTTAAAGTCCAGAAATCTTTATTATCCCTTTGGCATTTTGTTTTATTTTCAGCTTAATTGCCTATTGATGTCAAAGCGGATTTTTCCGATTTCTTATTTAAGTCTCTTAGCTGTCAGTATAGGGAAGGAGCGAGAAGAAAAAAAAAAGCCAAACCTTTCCCTTTTCACTTGCCTTCGCTGCTTCCAGCTCTTCTTTGGGAGCGATGTTATTTTTTGTAAGTTTAAATTCCAGGGTACCTTAGTTGTTGCTTTTACAATTTAACCTGGTCAGCCAAAACTTTCACTTCTTATCTTCCTCCTGCACGTTCTTTTCTGGTCGAGTTCTCCATTGTGGTGGCCATTTCTGACCACCGCTGCAACCGCCTTCGGGAAAGGGAGTAATGGCCAGCTGAGGAGGAGAGATGCGGCTCTCCTCACCCTGCTGGCAGTCTCCCCCCTCTTCACCACCTCTACGGGGTGGCTTAGCCCTGAAACCAGCCAGCTCGGGGCACTCCAGCAGCGAGCCCAGACAGAAGCCACGCACGATCGCAGATTTCTGTCTGTCGCCGAAGCCCTTCAAACCGGAAGTGCCTGGAATTAAAAAGAATCTACAGTAAAACTTCAACAAGACTTCTAAAAGATACATTTTAACTGAAACTTTGCAACTAAATAGTAACCCCAGGAAGAGAAAGTGAAAAAAAAGAGCAAAAAAGAAACAGCTTGCATGTATTTGGATTATTTGGTGATCTTTGGATTCTTGGTTATTATATTTGAATGACTAAAATCAATCGGGTGGTTGTTTAAAAATTTATACAATGGCACCACTTCTGGATGAATTGAAAATGGAACTTAAAATGTACAAAGAAGATGCACAAGAAGGGAAGGGTTCTTTTGGCTTCGTTTTTCAATTCTTAGAAATGGAGATTTGGAACTATGAGAAACAACAAGAAACGACTGCAAAACAAGAAGACTGGGACAAAGAAGAAGCCATCTTTAATGAACAAGCAATTTTATGTGGGGAAGAAAAAGGAAAGGGAGGAAAGAGAATGGGGAATTTAAGACTTAAAAAAACAACCAAAGAAAAGAAAAATATTTCGAAAAATTAGTATAATACTGGAAAGCAACAGAAAAGGGGAATACAGAAGAGAGAAATAGAGGTACAGAGACAAGGGGATAAAAAGGGGAGAGAGAAGAAGAGAGGGAAGAAGGAAAGGAAAAGAAGTTACAAAGGACCAGAGCAAGATATAGAGAAACAGGACCTATTTAGAGATAATGGGTGAAAATCTAACTGAAAAAGGGATTCTGTAAAGGTACATAAGATTGTATTGTTATATTAGTAATAGAAATAACTTTAGAAAATTGGAAACAACGTATGATTAAAATGAGGGATAAAATAGTTAGTGTAATTTAGTGAAATGTTTGTGAATAAAATAAGTGAAATAAAATAAATGAGAAAATTGAATTAGGAAGGAATGGGAATATTTTAATTAGTTAATGTTTTATAAAATATAAGTGAAGAGGGGGAGGAATTAACTATGGAAAGCTTATAATTGTTCCCATAGAAGTATGATATTTAATTGAAAAGTAATGTTAAAGATGTTAAGACTTTAATGAATATTAATATTAATGATAGAATTGAATTGGAATGGAATGTTGTTTTAATTATATACATTTATATATTTTTTCTTTTTTTAAGAATACAGTGTGTAGTTTAAGAATGTACCAAGCAGAATCCGAATGGAAGTTATGTATTATATTGAATGTTACAACTTTAGGGGAAAGATATAAAGGCGTCATACTCCAATCAGTAACTACAGGAAAAAATTTGTTTAATGAGAAAAGATAATAGATAATTGCAACAGGACAGACAAAAAATATAAATACAATGATTTGAATTGAGATAATTAAAATAAAATTGAGAAAATTAAAAGAGGGGAGAAGCTATGCAGAAAATGTAAAATAGTAATAAGATATGGAATAGAATATAAAAATGAGCATGAACCTGAATTTGTGTCTGTATGAAGAAATGTAACCTGGGATTACGCTACTTTCAAAAAAGATGTTTTATTTGTATTTTTTTTCTCTTTGTGAAAACTCAAAAGTTAAAAAAAAAAGAAAGTGCAGGAAAGTTTTATAGCAATAAAGATATTATAAATAATATAGCAGACTTAGATACCACTTCACAGTACTTTACAGCCCTCTCTAAATGATTTTACAGAGCCAGCATATTGCCCCCAACAATCTGGGGCCTCTTTTGACTGATGTGGAAATGATGAAAGACTGAGTCAGCCTTGAGCCAGTCAGGATCGAACTCCTGGCAGTGAATTGGCCTGTAATACTGCATTCTAACACCAGGGCTCTTGTGCTTCTCTCTATCTGGCAAAAGATCAGCTGTCCTTTCTCTTTGCAGGCTGACATGCAGAGCTGGGAAGAGCAGAGTCAAGGAGCCATTTACACCGTGGAATATGCCTGCAGGTGACTGCCCTTAAAAACTGGTTTTTAACCATTCTAACCATTGCACCATTCTAACCATTGCACATAGGGATGTGGTGGCTCAGTGGCTAAGACGCTGAGCTGGTTGATCGGAAAGGTCGGCAGTTCAGCGGTTCGAATCCCTAGCACCGTGTAACGGAGTGAGCACCCATTCCTTGTCCCAGCTTCTGCCAACCTGGCAGTTCGAAAACAGGTTAGAAAATGCAAGTAGAAAAATAGGGACCCCTTTGGTGGGAAGGCAACAGCGTTCCATGCACCTTCGGCATTAAGTCATGCTGGCCACATGACCACAGAGACGTCTTTGGACAGTGCTGGCTCTTGAGCTTAGAAACAGAGCCAGAAATGACTAGCACGCACGTGCGGGAAAGCCTTTACCTTTACTTAACCGTTGCACCCCCTACAACAGTGGTCCCCAACCTTTTTTGTGCTGCGGCCTGGTACCAGCATCACAAAATCATCCACGGCCCGGTACCAGCATCAGCACGCATGGCAAGGCAAGCCGAGCAACCAGCCAGCCAGCCGTCCCCCGCTTCTCCCCGCCACCTTCAACTCCTCCTTTGTACCTGTGTCGATGGGCTTCGCGACGGCTTCACGACGGTCGCTCGGCTTGCCTTGCCATGCATGCTGAAAGAATCCTCGCGCCTTAGTTTTGTTCGAAGCCGCCCCCCCCCCCCGATGAAGCTAAGGCGCGAGGATTCTTTCAGCACCCAAACGCCACTTTCTACCCGGAAAAGCTCACCGGAAGCACTTTTTCATCAAAACAAGATGGCGGTGCCCAGCAAACCAGCGGCCCAGTAGAAATTGTTCCACGGACCGGTACCGGTCCGTGGACCGGTGATTGGGGACCCCTGCCCTACAAGAAATACTCTTCTCTCTGTCCCTATTCCTGGATTTCTGAGGCTGGGACACTCTTGATCCCCTCTTTCCCCAACTCTTGTACTTCTAACCAGGTGCTTTCTCTCCTCTCCAGTGCCATCAAGAATATGAAGGACAGTAGCATGTATTTCAAGAACATCGAAGGGCTCCTCAGACACGCCATTGCCGTAAAAGATCGGTTGAATTCTGCACGGAGGTAGCTCTGGAGAACCTGATCTGGGAAAACTTCATGGCCCTCCCCTCTATTTATGGATGCCAAGAGGAAGCCCCTCCACACACCAACGCAACCAAGACACATTTATATTAACCAGTCTCTCAAGTTTAATCTTTTTTTTTAACATTATTTTTAATTTAAACAAAGCATACTACAAGCAAAGAACATATGTTAGCAGTACTTAGTTTCCAACACTGCAGGCAAGATCTTTCTTGTTGTGTCATCTGGGGTGAGACGGGTAGAGGAAAGAATACATGGAATCCCATTATATCAAGTTAAACAGTTGGATGGATGTGCCAGTTCTATTTGGAAATCTCAGATTTTGGACCGAGGACGACTTCTACTTGCAAAACAAATGTTGTGCCTTCTTACTAGCTGGCTCTTCTTCTCCCAGTTCTACCCGCTCCCATCTTCTCTTCTCTTTCCCTTTTCACAGATTCCCAAGTGCTTTTCCTTCTGTTCTCACAGTCAAGGTAGATTTTTGCCATCTCCTGCAGGCAATCTTAAGATTTAAGATGACCTCTACCACCCTGCCCTACTCAGGGAAGGTTAAAAGAGACAAACCCTTGAACGCTTCCCCCTGTTTTATAACCAATCTAATTCTAATTCAGCTCCTCCCAGTTCAAGCTCAATAAAACTTAAGGCTTAGTTTTTTTCCTGTCGGATAAATACATATAATAGATTTCAGAACGGTGACGATGTTTTAACTAGGAATGCAGCCAGTCGCTTGTGCTGCAGGGACCAACCTCACCCCAAGTTGGATCCTTAGCACACAACTCTTCTCCCGCTGATTCCAGTGGGTTTCTGGTTCTGTATGAAGGGAGAGTTTGCCAGACCTTACTTGTGTCTCTGGTCAGAGCCCAGCTATCTCAAGGACAGCATCAAGGCCTCCGCCCCGCCCTCCATCAACTTTTCATGGTCTCCAGAGCCCCCTCTGACCTCCAAGGGATGAAAATCTCTCTCACCCTTTTGAAAGTGGGGATCACAACACAGCGAAAGCGTAGGAATCCCCGAAGTTGGATGAATGTAATTAAAAGGAAAAACCCTCCCCCAAATCTTAAGGGGAAAATGTCCAAAATACTTGTGACAGCTTCCTACCCACCCCAGCTCTTACCCTTCCTCCCCACCCCTCAAAATGTATAAATGCCAACCATAGCCAAGGAACAAGTGTCCATTTAGATCAGGTGACCTCCCAGGACTTGGAATTGTGAGATCATGTTCCTTTTTCAGCAACAGCCGAAAGAATTTGAGCAAAGCGTCATTTACGTCCTCATTATTTACACCGCATACTCGCTGGGGGTTTTTAGGGTTCGGGTTAAGGAAAGTTTTTTTCAAAATATTCTGCTGACGTTTTACCTTTAGGAATTTTGCAGGGTAAGTCCAAATAATGTTTTTCAGCCATTATTACGAGGCTGAATTTTCTCTCTTGCTGCACCTGAAGTGGAAATTTCTGTTGAACTTTTGACTGTTGTTTGCATAGGCCGGCCCGTGTCTCTCCTTGGACACGCCCACATTCCGTTTCTTGCTTATGTGTAATGGTTCTGACTAAATCACTAAAGGCATGTAATTCATGACTTGAGGTGAGGTTTGTGTTACAGACTTTGGCTCTCCTGAATCCTAATCGTTACAGCTTTCGGTATGGCACCAGAACGGATTCACAAAATGATCCGATGCAGGGGTGGGATTCAAAAATCCCAACAACCGGTTGTCTCTGCTTGGTTGCTGAGTGGGCATGGCCATGGTGGGCGTGGCCTACCGGAACTTCCGGGAGGACCATTTTTCATCCTCCCCAGAGTCCGGAGGCTTCCCTCAGGCTTCTGGGAGGGCGAAAATGGCCTCTCCTGGGCTCCAGAAGCCCTCTGGAAGCCGGAAACAGGCCCGTTTCCAGACTTCTGGAACTTTCAGGAGGGCCATTTTTCGCCCTTCCAGAGCCTCCACATGGGCCCTACACTTACCTGCATTCAAAATGGACCACGTGCAGACTCCCACGGGGTGGGATTGAGCGGGGCCAGCCGGTTGGTTCAACTAGTGGTTCGGTGAACCGGATGTACATTTAACATCTAGTTCGCCTGAACCAGCCCGAATTGGCTGAATTCCACGCCTGATCTGATGTTGGAGTTCCATCTTCACTGTAATCCAAAAATTTATCCAATTCAGTTACAGATAATCCTCAAGTTCAAAGCTACAACAGACTCCCTGAAACTACTTGTATCCTGGTTTTGAAGTAGAATAGAATAGAATTCTTTTATTGGCCAAGCGTGATTGGACACACAAGGAATTTGTCTTGGTGCAAATGCTCTCAGTGTACATAAAAGATAACTTTAGTCAAGAGTCAAGAATCATAAGGTACGACACTTAATGATAGTCATAGGATGCAATAAATTAGGGACAGCTTCACCCACACACACCCTTGTGGTGATGTGATCGTATTTTGTACGCTTGGCAACCAGCTCACCTTTGCAGCATCCCACTCTCACGTGATCATGATTTTTTATTTTATTTTTTACAAATTTTGCTGCTTTCCAGGACTTCCAGTTTCTGGCAAAAAAAGTGGGGGGAAGCCCATTGGGTAAAATGGATTCTCTTGAACACCACCACTACAAACATATTTTAAAAAATCATGTCTGGCCATGTAGTGCCTCAACTTACAACCGTAATTCTGGGCTCGATTGCAGTCATAAGTTGAGGACTATCTATACTGGTGGTCTCCAACTTTTCCAGCTCGACACACCGGCAGAGGCAGCAGAGGGGGGTGGGGGAGAGGGTATGGTTTTGGATCTGCCACATTCACAAGTGCAGCTTAATGCGTGCATGTTCACCCACCAATTCCGGAGCCCGGTACGATTGGGGACTCCTGATCTATACAACTAACCTTCCTTTTGCTGTTTTTTCTCCGGTGGGACCGATCTACTAGGGCAACCTGGTCTACCCAATTATGGGACAGAGCTTCCATTTTCGCCTGGTTACCCTGGTAGACCGGAGAAAAAAAAATCTCTGCCCTGATATAGCTGACAAAGGGAGGAGAACCCATGGCTTAGAGCAGGGCTGTCAAACTCAAGGCCTGGGGGCTGAATCCAGCCCTTGGAATGCTTAGATCTGGCCTGAGGGGCCATTTTGGAAACAGCAAAGGACCGGCCTGCAGTGCCTCTGCCAGTGAAAACGGAGTTTGGGAGAGCCCTGCGCTGCCTTCCCGAGCTCCATTATCAGCTGCGATGACCTCCAGCAACCCTCTGCCAGTGAAAATGGAGCTCAGGAGAGCCATGTGGGGCCCTCCCGAGCTCCGTTTTCACTGGCAGAGTGCTCAGGACTCCTGACACAAGTGACCTTGAGCTGGTGACGCCCACCCTGGCCATGCTCACCCCCCACCCCCCCTTGAGGTCAAACACAACCCTGATGTGGCCCTCAATGAAATCAAGTTTGACACTTAGAGATCAATACATCTAATATGCAAGCAGCCTGGGTTCGAATCCTACAAGGATACAGCTAGCTAATGAGAGCTAAATAGCTTGAAATAGATCTATACTAGTCTCCAGGGGTGGGATTCTATAGGTTTTCCCCTATTCGCTAGAACCGGTTGTTAACATTCTAAGCAGTTCGGAGAACCGGTTGTTAGAAGAAATTATTGGCCTAATCCTGTAAGGAAGGCAGGAAGGAAACATTCTGGTGTTGCTTACAGAAGCTGCCTCTCTGTTAACCCCTTATTACATTCTTGGCAGGACTAGACTTCCTGTCTCAGGAACTTCTCTGGAGTGATTTTCCCCTCCACACTTTTCTTGTGTGGAGTGACCATTCAAAGTTACAATGGCACTGAAAAAAGTGACTTATGACCATTTTTCACACTTACAACTGTTGCAGCATCCCCTCAGTCAAGAGAAGCCAGGAGAGGAGATGCGTGCCTCGATGTGAGTGATGTTGAGTTGGCCATGCCCACCAACCAAGCCACACCCACAGAACCAGTTGTTAAAAAATTTGAATCCCACCCCTGCTAGTCTCCCTTTGCCAGTAAAACCTAAATTTAACACTTCCTCTTATTAGTGTGAATCCAGACAAATGGCCTCTTTCTGGTAGCCCCTATGAACAATTTAAGTGTAGTACAGTGGTGGGATTCAAAGATTTTTACCACCGTTTCAGTGGGCAGGGCTTGGTGGGCACACTTTGCACACGTGCACACATGTGCCAAATGTGCACTTTGCATAGGCACAGAAGCGTTTGCGCAGGCGCAGAGGTGTTCCAGCTCACCTTCTGCACTCTCCCTGTCGCTTCAGGACCTGCCAAGCAGCATTCGGTTGTGCTGCGCAAAGCAGCTGCGCTTCAAAAACAGGGAATAACGGTCAGTATGGGAGCCCGGCCAAGCAAGTGGACCCAACAGCAGCGCAGCACAGAGAACCAGTTGAGTCTCCGCTGCTCATCGGCACTACCGGCTCAGTAGAACTGGGCTGAACCGGTAGAATACCACCACTGGTACAGTATCTAATAATGGATGGCAGCTAATCTTAGTCGAACAGAGTTGTGTTGGAGGTAACAGGATCATTAAAGGAAGCCTCCATATTCAGTAGCAGCCTTTCTTGGTGCTGGTTTGCAGCGTGCATTAGAGTACGGGGGTTGGTTAGTAAAATATCCTTTCTTACACTTAACCAGCCCTTTAGATTCATTCCTGCTGCATCAGGGTTTAAAAGCAATAGCTGTTTTCCCATTAATTCTTCCCTTATTAAAATAAAAAATCTCCTTTCGGCCATCAAATGTGGATGATCTACGTAGAGACTCAAACTATCTGTAATATGTGAATTTTTCTAATTGCTGAGAGTAAGTGGGGTGCCCTAGATAGAAATATACAAGAACCTTGGTAAAGAAGTAAAAAATGTTCTTTAGGTCCTAGGAATCAAGATAATATTCGGAAACGGTTCATGCAAACACCTCCCTGATCCAAGGAGGGGAAATACAGTTAGTCCTCGACATACCACCACAAATGGAGCTCAGATTTTCTGTTGCTGAGTGAGACACTTGTTACGTGAGTTTTGACCCATTTTACTGCCTTTCTTACCACAGGTTGTTAAGTGAAATATTGCAGTTTATTAAATGTTTCTGGTGTCAGGATTCCGGCAGTTACTCCAATTAAATCATGAGCCTCGAGCCACACTCCCCAAACTAAAAAAGATTTATTTGAAGGTAACATTCTACATCCGGCATTAACCTGGACGTAGCCAACTCTGAGATACGTAATTCACTGTCACCCTTGATTCTGCTTCCCCCCCCACACACACACCTCTGGGTGTATCATCCAACAAAACACATCCATAGCCAAGAGTCATCAATCATGCTCTCCAATTAGATTTTTACATGGCAGAAGCTTCAGTCATCTAATCAGTCTCTGAAGAAAATATGACTGGAATGTACATTAGATTCCACACTGCCGCTTGGCCTTTGAAACTCCCACACACACACACTTTCTGTTGCCAACTATAAAACGTGTATACAAAATGTTTTATGAGTTGACATTTGGCTTCCCCATTGACTTTGCTTGTCAGATGGTCACAGAAGTGATTGCGTGACCCCTGGGCACTGCAACCTCATAAACATGAGTAAATTGCCAAGCATCTGAATTTTGATCACGGGGATGCTGCGATGGTTGTAATGTGAAAACCGGTCGTCAGTCATTTTTTCCAGTGCCATTATAACTTTGAATGGTCACTAAATGAACTTGTAATAATTATAACAAATTAAACCTTTAAGTGTGAAATTACCAGCAGACTCTTGAACAATAATAAAGAGCTTTATTATTTAGCTTTTGCAAAAGGGACCTCTGTGCTCGTAGGTGGAGCCACAGAAGACATCTTCCATAGGAATAAACGATGGTTAAATACTGTTTCAAGACTCTAGCCCGTTACTGCCTGTTCTTATCATTGGTTGACTTCTGATTGTATAATTTTCCTGTCAGCTTTGGAAGCCGTATTAGCACCAGAAGCTTCCACACTGCCACATTCTTGAGCCTGGGAAAATTGGAGGGGGGAAATTTCTTGGAGTGTATGTGGTTAGGCATAATAGC